CATCAGCTTTTGGCTGGGCCCTGGCGACTTGCTCGCAGGGTCTGTCCCAAGCCCGATTTGTGGCGAACAGGCGCGTTGGTAATCAGCTTTCTCGCCCAGCTGTCACTTGTGTCACGCACGATGGAAGGGGTTACTTGATCACAGTAGACTACTTCAGTGAAAATGATGCACTGCCCACGACCAGTGCTCATGTTGTGGTGAACAAGCTGTGCGGTCATTTTACTCGACGTGAAATCCCTGAGAAAACAGTATCAGAAAACGTAGCGCAGTTTATTGCTGAGGAGTTCCGAGGCTTCAGTGAGAAGTGGAAATTGGATCATGGCCGCTATAGCCCTAACCGTACTTAGTCAAACGGAAAGACAGAGGCATCAATGAAGGAAGTAAAGAGAGTATTGACCAAAACTAAACAACAGAATTTGAATCAGTACATCATACTTATGGGACCAAGGAACACTGCGTCTCCCGAAAATAGACTAAGTTCTGTCCAAATTTCATTTACCCGCACAGCGAGAACGTCTTTGTCCGCTGCGGAAATCTTGCTCCAACCGGAAGCATGATCCTCAGCGATGACACAAGGCCACTGAAGAAAAACGAACGCTCAGACGGCAATGATAGTGGATCTGATGTGATACAGCGACTCAACAACAGCTACGATTGGATCTACATGGTGCCTGGAGCCAAGCGAATTGTACAGGAAAGGAGTTGTGAAAACGCGAACAGGACACGTTATGAGGTCAAGTTGGGCAACGTTTCGTATCTACGAATTAGCATCCAAGTGAAACAATATGGAACCATGTGTGCGACGTCGAGTGGGCTACAAACTCAGCAAGATAGCAGAGTGCCGGGGAAGACAAAAAGAGGACACACAGTGTAGCACCCAACCGTTTTTCAGCACTCAATAAGTACAAGCTGGAACAATTAAGGGCCTAACTTGGTTTGAGCACTAAAGCGGCCAGTAACCTTCCAGACCTGCCGATGATAACTATTTCGCTGCCCCTTAAGGTGGCAGACGTGTCGCGTTGCCAATCGAAGACCATAGAACAGACGTTCATTGATCACACAGCAAACATTCCGCATATATTCAACTGTCGGATACATTGCGTGGTCAGCCCAAGACCCTGGGAGAGCTAATGACGATTGCACGGAAACTGTTCAAACATACAAGGCCGTGAGACATAATGTTTTGCTAAATTCGTCCTCCATGATAGTCTGTAAATAGTATGCGTATTTGTTATTCAAACAGAGTCTTGCCACAAGTGCGGACTGATTTCTAGGTGTTGCTGCGCTGCACGTCAATGCGCTCATGCAATCACGGGTGCAAACATTTATTTGTGGACTTAGAATCATTCATCAGCACGAACATTGGTCATCTGTTGGTCTGCTACTACGCGGCAACAGTCTCTCACAGTGGCGTGAGAAACTGTGTGTTCATTTGGTTATATACGACAGTCAGATGTTATATCGATGACATGAAATGCAGACACACCCATCAAGTGTACCATTGATGGACATTTCCACTGTAGATAAACATCCGCAGGTGGCTTGTTACTAGTAGTTATTGATCATATACAGCACTGTCGATGCTGGGTTCCCTCACTTAAATTTACGATTGACAAGCATGTGAGTTTAGTGTTCAATCCCATCACTGCGTCTAGCTAACAGAGAAAATACTTGGCAATGAGTCAAAAATCGATTTCACGATGGCGAACTAATAGATAGGAATTCGCCGTACTTTCCCAGAACCACTGAGCCAACTTTGATTACGGCGGGCGGAAATAATGCTGAGAATCCTGTAATCAGGAAGCCATTGTGGCGTACTTTATCTTTCATAAGAATATATAGTGCAATGGGGAATGTATGCTGTAAACTTCTTTGGGACACCTTCGTGAATAGGTGCTACTTTTGGGGAATGGGCAATTTTTCTCACTGAGACAGAATGTACGACATCCGTAGCGAAACAGGCCACTAGGATACCTAATCACAACTGTAATAAGACAGAACCAACCTCACTATCTTGCAATATATCAGATGAAGAAATGCATGTGCACCACAGTAACATATCCATTATGTCATCACAGTATATATGTGGATGTGAACTCTGTGGTGGACGGTGAGTGGGTGTAATTCAACAGTGATCTAACGCAAAAAACCAAGTCTATAGTCAATGGTATATTGCGAATAAAAAGAAGCCGAAGGTTGATATTGTAGGGGCGCGGATCTCAGTTCACACGGAAATGCCCCGGAAGCAGCAGGAGATCGGGACTAACGCGGAGACTGGGAACGGGAATCGTCAACCTAGCTCGTGGCCTACGATGCAAGCCGGGAATGGGTCGTCAGCGACAAACGATACCGCGGCCACGCCGAGAAGAACAAGAGGCGACATGAAAGGGAGCCCGATTTTCCCAAGAGATATGCTTTGATCTACGGCCCCAGGAATCGGCCCGACCAGAGCAACACAGCCCCGAGCAAGCAAGTTGAGAGCTTTGGTACGAATCCAGTCTGGATAGGCTGCGACGCAAGGGAGCAGAAATGTGGGCGGAAAACGGCACGTACAACGTCCACGTCTGATCAGCCTAATGGCACTTTGTGAACACCACTTCACTCGGCGGAACGTGGTGTGTCGTAAGTGGGAAACGCGGCTATATTTGTGTGTGTGCGCGGGACAGGTGTGTGAACCTCAGCGTGCAATAAACTGCGTTCTCCCCTACCGTGTCGTTTTCGCTACACTATGTCCAGCCGGATAATATGTTAGTGGCGAGCCAAATGAAGGCAAAAATATCAATGGGAAATAGGGAACAACCGCAAATTGCCAACTTGCCGGTTACAGCGTTCCCGTCAGAACATTTCACACTTTGGTATTATCCAAGGTTATCGTTTATGGTTTCCAGGTAAAAATGAAGTTGGGTTTATTTGTTATTTTACTGTTTGTGTATGGGCCGCTTGGATTACGTGATATGGTATATTACGGCCAGTGCACTGTCGACATGTGCTGTGAACACGGCTAACGTGGGAGCTGAAATAACCGCTTCTGGGAGGGTACTCTACGTATGACAAACAAGCAGCGATAAGAAGTTTCTTCGACGTTCCAACGGACTGTACTTTTCTGCCCATTTCAGATGATGACTTCCTAGGTTGTTGTTGTTGTTATGACTCAACTTCAACTGGTAATGGCAGGGGTGATTAGTGTTGTTTTAAACTTGGTAAGCCATGAATAGGTCACCACGTAAACGGTGATAACGTGCACTGAAAATGTCAAGCCTTCTGAGGCGCAGTTCGTATGACTAGTGGCGCAGCCCCTTGCGATTTTTGGTCTGCCGACGTCGTGGAATCTCCAAGACCGTGTGATCCCCCTGTAACCATGAGTGTCATGCTTGAATTGTATCTTCAACATGTGAGCGTATGGAAGGGGGAAGTATTTGGCGGCAAATCGAAGGTACGATTTGCCCGTGAGCTCTCCGTAAAAGTCCCACGATTTGCATCCCCTTCTTCCATGTCATTTTGGACTGCTCCATGCAGCCGAAATCTTCCTGAACAAACACACCGAGATTCTTTTGGAGAGAACAGTGTTGCAGATCCTGGTCCCCCAGCTTATATGTGTGGACCATTTGGTGTCTTAAATGGAGCAGTCGATATTTAGCCACATTGAAGTTAAGACGATTTTCGATCGATCATCCTTAAATCTTGTCAAGATCGATTTGAAGCTGAATACGGTCTTCTGGAGCACTGATCACTCGCCAAACTTGGATGTCATCGGCGTAGAATAAACAGTTTGACGCAATTTAGCTCACTAGATCGTTTATGAAGACAAAAAATAGACGGGGCCCCAATACCCAACCCCGTGACACTCCGCATTCGACGTGAATTGGATCTGAAATGGATACCCGTACTCGTACCTCCAAACGTCTGTGCGAGAGAAAATCGCAATTCCAATCGAGGAGAGGGTCGAGGAGGAGGGTCTTTAATATCACATCTTTGACGTTTGGCAAAAAGGATACCATGGTCGAACCGGTCGAATGCCTTAGAGAGGTCAAGGTAAACCACATCAACTCCTGAACCAGCATCCACAGTTTCACTTCAGCTGTCTCGTGCTGCCAATAGGTTGGTTGTGCACGACCGATTCTGGCGAAAGCCGTGTTACTGCTGCGCAATTTGCCCAAGGCCGTCCAAATAAAACATGAGTGCGTCGGCAACGATAGCAGTAGAGTCACTGGCCGCTAACCAGCTGGGTCGGAACAACTACCCCGTTTGTAAATGGGTTATTATCCGGTGTTTCCACATTGAAGGAATGTGATGCTCGTCAAAGCAGCGCTGGAACAGCCGCGTCTAGGTTTAGCCACTATAGTAGCCGCCACAGCAAGCGTCTTTGGGCGGATGTCGTCAATTCCTGGGCAGGCATGCAGGCGCATGGATAGCAGCTTTCTCATCACGACGTCTGCGGTAAAATTTATATGAGTCAGTCCTGCTGTGGGTGACATAGATTCCAAAGCTTCAGGAGACCGCAGGATGTGATAAAATCTTGGTGCATATTGTTGTTGCAGAACATTCGACGCTTCTTTAATAGCCAGAGTTAGACCATCGGCTGTGCAAAGAGAAGGAAATCCACTTTTCACCTTGCGGAGGCTTTTCACGTGCTTGTACAGAAGCTTAGGATTTGAAGTTAATCGCTCAGCTATAGCATGTTAGTAAGCTAATTGGTACTCGCACACTAATTCGGTACCGTGCTTACGCTGGACAACACAGGCTTTCCAGTTACTCGGACTCGGATCGGTTTTGGTGGTATAGTACGCCGCGTTGCGCATCACCATGCGTTTGCGTGTCCTTCTCCGTATAAACGATGCAATGTTTCTCGAACTTATAGTCTTGGTTTCCGATGCTCCATTAACTAAGGTGTTAAACTTCGGAATAAGTGAGTACTCAGATAAATTCAGTTAATTCTACTTGTATTTCGCATATTTTCCTAATGCCCATTGTGAAGGCACATCCCTTTTGTTTGTTTACAGCGTCCCCGCACTCAAGAGTTTGTCAATCACGAAAATGCACAAACTTGCTGATGTGCTAGAAGAGGTAAGTTCAGTTGGGAGATGTGATCTCTTATCGACTTAGAGGTTTATGTGCAAAACGTGTGATAGTGAGGTACAACCTACTTCCAATGAATTACACTTAAAGTCCGTGCTACTTCTTGAATTATCAGTGGAAAAAACAAAGGCACAGAGATTCAATCGGTACGGATCCTGCAAACACACCAACTCTGAACGGTTGGGCTAGCGTTTATTAATCCTAAACGATTGTATCAGCCAATTAACACTGGTTGTGACAATTTTTGGGTAGCTATGGAACTCTCAACGCGCTTTGATCATGTGTCTGAATGAAAACAGAGTTTCGTGCAAGATTTTCCATTGACAAAGTTCAACAAAGTAAGAGAGAACAGGATTTCAACAAGGAATTCTGAATTTAGATGGGTCGCAGATTCTCATCAGTTGTTAACATGCATTCCGTGAAACAATCGTGTTTTTTACCATAGGAAGCAACCTTCAGTCATTCATTGTAGATTTGAAACGGTCAGGGCGCCTCACCAAGGAAATGCGAGGCTGGCCATAAACTCAGTCTACTTGCCAAAAATAGGTTTCAACCACCGAACAGCTGAGACCTCAGTAAGCTGAAGCGAGCGCGCATTTCTCTGTTGGTTAATTATCTTGAATGATTTGTGAGGACTTTGGCGGTTGAAATGTAATTTGTACACGCAGACTGAGCTGATATTCATCCCTGCCTTAGCTTGGTGAAATTTTGTGATCATTTCAAATTGAAATTGCTTGATCTTGCACACAATACGCTACACGATTTTTTCAAGGTGTGCGTCGTAAAAGCAGATGATTAAAATCATAACACATTAGCTGATATTCATCACATCTCGTTTCGATCATAGAAGCAGCACATGCCTAAAATAGCACTTGACGTCCCTTTCGTTCTTCTCAAAATCATCCTCATTGTGCAACCCGTCTTTCCCAAGTGAAACTAGAACTCACGATCCCAATCTTACGAGTCTTTGGATGAGACCACTGGGACACGAGGGACAAAGAGGACCGCCAACACTTAGTCACATGAGGTATTAAAACGCGCCTCATCATCCACTAACTTGTGCGTAACCATTTTGCAAATGACAAGGTATCCCAACACAGAGCATCAGTTGACTGGTTGAGCTTGCAAAGGATGTGCTTCGACTAGTACAATTTAATGCTTTGACCAGTCACTCCTCTTTATTTGGTTGGTTCTCATTCTAAACAAGCATACTGTTTATTGTCCGGTTTTGAGTACCTGTCGTGTGTCATGGGTTACGATATGTACTCTTATTTGTTGCTTTGCAGTTCTGCTCACTGGGACCGAATCCGACGAAATGCAGTGTTTCGGGGTTGCTTTCTCCCCTCACTGCACGCCACCACGGATGGTTTCGTCCTTGTTTGAACAATTCAAGTACATAGCCTGTAGTGGGGGTGGAACATAGCCAATGCTGATTGACGGCTGTCGCCATGAACACTAGACTATTGAGCTCGAAAATATCCGTCGGTACGCCTGCTCCTATTCGCTTAGGAGTTCTGGGTACGGACGTACTTCCACGAGCGTGGCTCCTGCGGGAATGTTCCTATTGAAGGGAGCTTCAGGTTTGGATTTCCAGTGTATCTGTCTCAGATGACGGGTGATCTTGCGTCTACCACCCATCGACCGGTCCGGTTAAGCGCAAATTTGGCGTACGCCTCCAAATAAACAGCTCCAACAAGTCTTCACACTTTCACGTACATGCGACATCTGCACTAGTGCTGTTGACCTGTCAAGCAAGTAAATGTGTTGACGGATTTCACTGTCTTCCATGTAGAATGCCGCCCAAGTATTTGGGGTGCGTTGTGATCGATATCGACAGTTATGCGTTGGGCAAGTCCAAATGAGTGAGCTGCCACCGGTTGTAGCCCACACCGTGTCCGAGTTAAAGGATATCGATACTTCGGCTTCGCTCGTTGCCTGAACTACGTTATTAGTCGGCTCTAATTTGCTCAGAACTCGCTGCAGTTTCAGTTGCGCAGCAGATGAGTTGAGCATATTTACAAAGCGCTTCTTTTTGAGCTCATAGAGATGTAAATTACATGCAAGTCACTATTTCCATGACATGTGCTTCTGACAACCACCTATGGGTGAGTTGCTTGTACAGCCCTAAGTGTGACATCGTATTTGCACCAGGAATATATATATATATATATTCACAGTCTGTTAACGGACATTGTGCTATCAGCACTATGGCAGAAAAAATCTAGAGAAACTAGAAACACGAAATCCAGTAAAATGATGGAAACCAATCTTTTGGTTTTCCACACCTCATTTTGAGTTTGTTTTTCTTGGTTCGTGAGCTTTTGTGTGCATTAAAGAGAGGCTAAGATGGCAAAACAACATTGACGTCATTGATGTCTGTCGCGGGCCATTACATCCAATGTTTCCAACCACTGAGGTTCCGCATCTCGTGGTTCCAAACCTGGAAGACGGACAGATATATCTGCCGCCAAAGTTGAGGTTGCATTCTTCATACTCTTTCTCCACGTCATTAACTGTCCACCGCAGCACTGTTTACAATCCCACCTTGGGAGTGCAAATAGCGCTCGACGTGAAATGACGATGGGCTGACATACGCAAACCGTGCCCGAGCCTACGCATGCGATATCGGAGAATAACCTTCTGAAGACTGGCCCTACTCGCTCCAAGCACTCGGTCTCGGATCTCTGCCTTGCTTACGTGGTGTTCCCAACACACCCGAGCAATCCTTTGTAGACAGTGATTGTCGAAGACTAACAACCTCTTCATGTCTTCCGAGCGAATAGGCCGTCTCACCGCCGTACTAGACTACTGCACGGACGGAAGCATTGTACACCCTGCCATTGAGCTTGAGACTGACATTACGACGACACCATAGGTGCCTCAGTTTGATGAATGAATGGTGTGCCTTCGCAATCCGTTATGAGACTAAATCTCCAACGCAGCTACCAGCCGTGATGCAGCTCCTAGGATAAGTAAAGCAAAGGACTTGTTTCGGTACTTGTCCAGCAATGGTGAGCGCGGTTTCAGGCACCAGCAGATATGATAGCCCATAGTTGGCGGCATCCGGTTTCGCATTTGCCTGTCACTGTGGCCAGCCACAGGACCTCTGCGTCTACAGAGCGACGATGGGTGGCTTGCGCAGCACCGCTCACAGCTCCAACCACACACCCCATATCCAGTGTAAACCCGAAGGGATAAGATCGGGAGACAACGGATCCGGCCTACACTCCCTCACAGGCAAACATAAGCACACTATGTTTGGGGGATCAAGCGCACACAAGGTGGTGGCTGGACCGTGGCCCGCTCCACACTGAGTGCATAGAACCACTCTTTGATCTTAGCAAGGCTACAAGCACCGTGCACCCAGTCCCCTCCAGCAACGACCAACTGTCTCCTGGAGCCGGTATGGACAAGGTAGTGGGTAATGGACAGCTAGGCCCCTTGTCAACATGCACATCAGGTGCAGCCACAACGGGGATATCAACCAACAGCCAATCACTTGAAATGACTAGATGAAATAAAATACATCGAATAGTGCACACAGCTAAGGTGACATAACATTTCACTAAATGAGCTTATGAAATATATTTGTTACAAATAAATCGGCGATAGGTTCAGTATGGCAGAAAATATGTTTTATGAAAATGCCATAATCGCGAAATATTATGATAATTAACTAAAACGCTTAATGGACGTGTGCAAGTTTATAGTAGATGTTTCAGCCGAACATTAATATATAAAAGGGCATTTGTTCAATATGGCAAACCCACCACCTGGAATAGAGAGTGAATGCAAGTACGCGATGAATAAATCGAATGCAGCACACCTAGAAACGCTGCGCCGTTTCCACTTACGCTGTCAGCGGGACCCGTCGTCCTTTCGGTGTTGGCCCCGAGTGGCCTCGCTCATTGCTCCCTAGGTCTGCCTGACTCAGGCACTTGCGACTGAATGTGATGCAGCACTATGCGCTCGATGTCGATGGAGTAAAACCCTTGGGCTCCTGTCGGTTCGGCAATTGCCGCTGCTTCTCTGCATGCACGAGCGCTTTCTCCTACACCTCGGTGACTGCCTTCGTGATCAGATCGCGCCATGCACGCCGATCAACTGCTTTCGATTCCCACGACCTGCAAACAAGTTTAGAACGTGAGATCGTCACTTTGATCATATCCTGGTTTCCCCACATGCCGTTTCCCCAAACTCAACTGACCATATGATTGCTGTTTCGGTATCCGCATCGAATCTATACGCCATATATGGCCGAGCCACCTCAGGTATCTCAGCAAAAGTATGTAGTCAATTGCATACATTCCACTTCGGCGCAACGCTCCCGTGTTTGTAACTCTGTCGCACCAACCGATGCACAGAATCTGTCGCAGACACTTTTGATGAAACCGCTGGACGTATGTCCAATCTCGCCGGTACATCGTCCACGTTTCACTGCCATATAGAAGAACGGACAGCACCACGGATTCGTACACCATCAGCTTTGAGTCAATGGTAAGCTGATGGTTGTTCCACACTCGGTACTCTAGCTTCCCGAATGCCGCCGCTGCCTTCGACACGCGGATACGCTGCTCACTGTGTAGCTGCTGATCAGTCGACATCACACTCCCAAGGTAGCAAAAGCGGGAGGTGGTTTCTAATACTTCCGCACCAACGCTGATTCGCGGCACCATTGTAGATTGCACCTGCAGTGAAGGGTGAAAGCGACAGACAGTTTTGCATGTGTTGATGGTGAGCCCGAATTTGGCGGCTGTCGAAGCCAGAGCACTAGTCATGAGTTGCAGCTCATCCGCGCTGTGTGCAAACAACGCACAGTTGTCAGGGAACAGCAACGTACGGATAGTTATCTCACAGACTAGACTTCTTGCACCGAAACAACGGATGTTCAGCAACCCACCATCAATACGGTGCTCCACACGAACACCGTAAGCACAAGCCATATCAAAAGCACAAGACATCCCGGCATGGAGATATATATTAAACAG